AGGAAAATGACTTCAACTCCACATGATATGCATTCGCAAATCAACACCACCCTATCCATCGAAAGCTACTGGTCCACCGAGCCATACGGGGCTCCCTATTTTGAGACGCACCCCCCCGATGCACAGTAAATCCAGTTGGCGGCTCCTTTCAGGAGTGAGGGCACAGGTGCTGATGATGAGACCACTCATCTTTTGCAGGCAGCACTCAGTCCAATGAAATTCCGGCAGAGCTTCTAGAAACCTGGTTGCAAGGGGTGGGGCAGAAAGAGCTTTGGGATAATGATGGAAGGGTAGGACCCTGGACGCTGGTAAGGAGTAAAGACCCTAAGGATCAACAAAAACTACTGCTTCCCTAACCAAGGGGAAGAAAAGTTCTGTCATAAATGAAAGTTGAACTTGCCTATCAGGCCTATCAGCGAAGGCTCTGAGTGGCCGTAGTCTTGACTACAGAATAGGCACTTGGAACCACCGCCAAGACAAACAGCGCTGCCCGGAATGGTCGCCAAACACACATACACACACCACGTGCATCCAAAGGGCTTCAGCATTCCTTTGACCTGGGCCAAGCGCCTTGGCAGCCCCACAACCTCCACGATGGAAGCACTCGCCTCCCGCGCCAACGCAGCTAGGAGCCGTAAAAGCCATTCTGACAGCCGTGGCTGGAGTTGTCCAGCATTCCACTCCGAGGCCTAGTGCTTCAGGGGCTTCACTCGATTCTGAGGCCAATGGTCCAAAGCTGCTTGCCCGGATTGACCCAGGTGTAGAGGTCATCCAAATAAGTGTATGATAGAATTACAGTATAAAAAATGCAGAAGTCACCTACAAGGATTCCAATCATATCCCCTCATTGCCTCATGAATGAAAGAGCGGTCCTGCAGGAAGTCGGAAGCCGTGGACGCGGTCTCTTCGGCCAAGCCAGCAAAAACCACCTCAAAGCAGGCATCCAAGGCTTCACCGGTGAGACTGTGGCCTCAAGAGGAAGGGTTGATGGCCCAGTTGCTTGAACCGTCCGTCATACGGTACAGCAATACACCTGAAAAAGTTGCCAGAAAAGTCGCACCAAGTTGCTACATCTCCCCAAGCCCTTCATGGCCAAGTCGAGGAAGGCTTCCCTCACTGACGCCTTCTCCGCCCACAGCTGCTCCGGCGCCCCCAGCACCGCGCATAGCACTTCTGAGCTCCGGGCGCCCGTCTCGGAGAGCATGGCGCTCCGTGAAGTCGAACCGGGTTCCTGGTGGAAACAGAGAGAAGTCAGGAGAAGCCTGTTTGGAGGCATGGCACTGTTCATCCTCATGAATCCTCATGCGCAAATTACTTTTTTGGAGGTTTGCTCTTCTGATTTTTCGGGCTGCTTTCTTACCACTGTTGCAAAAGCTGATCCATTCATTTGCTTCAACCCCTTCCCACATCGTCCTCCACTGAACGCCCATTCTGCAGTGCAAACAGTGCCGCCAACGCTGCCCGCGGCTCACACGAATCTTGCGGCCACTGCCCAGGTTCTGCACCAAGGACAACTGTGATCCAGCTGGTGAGGCAGCTGCAGCTGGCAACGACCAGTTTGGAGCCTAACTTGGCATCACCTGCAGGCACATCAAGCACATGTGCGTAGCGAAAAACATGGGTGACACCTAGCCAACCGCTCAGGCGGACATGCCATTCATGGTCATTCCTTGCAGTTGAAAAGGACGGCTTTCCAGGATTGTTGACCACCCACTGACCGCAGAGCGCACGGTTTGCCGCACCTGATTTCAGCAAGATCTTGGCCAAAGCAGTGCATACTCCAGGGTAGAAGGTAGCCAAAGTCTCCACTGACCGCTCGACTTCCGCCAAGGTCTGCAAAATCTTCAGACTGAGAACTTGCTCCTGTCAGATCTCGTGATGGCCATTGGCCGCCAAGTGTTGGATCAGACTAGAGACAATGGCTGGATCTGTGAGTTCTTGATCTTACTCGCCCACTCCACCCGCCTCAGTGAAGCACAGCCAGACTACCACTCCCGGCAGGGTTCAATCAATAAAGAGCTATATATCAGCTATGATGAGCTATGTACGTCATCAAATTGCCTGGGGATATCCAATGTATATATTATATCCGACCCATCCAAGCAATCCAACCCAAACCTTCCAATTTGATCTGTCCATCTCAACCCAAAAGCTCAGTCCAATTTGCGCTCCTGGCGGGAGACCTCACTGGTGGCCCTTTGAACTGCCAAGTGGGCCAAAAAGCCAACCTGCATCTTCGCGAGCTTGGTGGCATGGTCCGCATGGATGTACCACTTTCGCAAGAGCACCTTCAAACACACGTGGCCAACAAAAATGGGCTACAAAGGGGCCCTCTCAGAACAACAAGCCCTTTCTAAGAACGTACCAATTCATGGCAAACCCACACAATCACAAAAATTCCTTGTCCCAGCCCCAGCCTCACCTCGACAGCATCCAAGGCTCGCAGGCTGGCACCCTCCGTGAGCCCACTGGACGCCTCGGCCCAGATCACTTCCAACAACCCACTCATCCGCTCCAGCAATAGCGGCGCCAGGCGGGGCGCGACACTCGCAGCCCGTGGCTCGGTGTGCTCAATTGGCGCTTCCAAGAGTAACTTCAACAGGAGGAGCACATCCTGAGAGAGTCATCAATCATCTCATATCATCTCTACTGTCTTCACAAGCCAGAGCAAACCCCTTCTTGAGATGTTGCATGTGAGGAGTCTGGGTCAGGACGGGTCAGAATGAATCACATGGAAGCAAGATTATTGGACTCGAGGCCCTAGGCCCGCTCCTCCAAGAGCGGCCATGCAGGAGGGCGTTCAGCCAAGCGAAAGAGAAGCGGAGCCAGGACATGCTCAAAGTTGCCACCCAAAGCCTCCCACTCGAAGGGAATCAATGTATATATATATATATGGTTGGTTATATACTATAATTGTGTTGCCCTTGTGAAGGACTTCTACTCTCTAAACTGCCAAAAACTTCTCTGGATGGTCTGGGCTTGGTCGTGCAATGTGTTCACTTCACTCTTTTGTCCACCTTTGTCCTCTTGCAGCGCCTCTGTTTGCAGCAGCGCCTGACACGCCACCTTTGCAACCCCACTGTCAGGGTCACAAAGCTGCACGCACAGTTGAGAGATAGCCATGGATGCGGCTGGCCCATGGCGGCAAAGAGCGACCAGCGGTGTGCAATCCGTTGTCCAAACGCTTCCGGGCACGAGCGCCCATGGTGCCACATGCCTTTTTTGCATTTTGATTGGAATAGGGCTAGTTAGGGCGGTATGAATCCTGTTGTTGAAGGAAGGCAAGGACAATACCAGAATGCAGAAATCGTAACAAAGCCATCGATCAAGTCAAGGACCAAATGATAAGGATGGTAAGCGTCAGGTGCTTGTGTGCGGGTCTGATTACGCAATACCATCACCACTGGGGAGGTGACCTGAGAACCTCTCCGTGTAAGGTTTTTCCTACCCGCAGCTCGCACATTGTCTCCGTAAAAGCTGCTTCTCTTGCACCAGTGGGGCCGACATGTCTTGTCTGTGTGTGTGTGTGTCGTGCCCACTGCGCTCCATGAAATGGCTTTCAGCCTGCGCCCACTCTGCGACTCTTCCTGCCCAGGCTGCTGGTGTAGGGGTGGGGTGTTCAAGGGTTTCACAACTTCATACCTATAATACACAATACATGCCTTTATCATTCTTTATCCATGTTCACCCCCTCCATGAACCTGTGCTCTTCACATCCACAACGTTGCTAGTGCCGTTTGCAACGCCCCGGGGGTGAGTCCCAAAGACTCAGCTCCGCACCGGCTTGGCTCCTCCGCCGCCAGCAGCTGCCAAACGGCCACAAAGCCCAAGCCTGGAAGGATAGAGATCAACGACCGAGCGGATTCGTGACATGTGTTTCACAACTATTTTTTTAGATACTGAAGACTCTTCACATGTGTGTCTTCACATGTGTCTTCACATGTTCATGACTTGGATGCCTGGTAGGGGTAGGGATAGCGGGAGGGCTCTTCTGCAAAAGAACCTTCTCTCGCATCTCTCCATAACCACACGGCGATGATGTGCCCAAGGCCACGACTCAAGACTCCCACGATCTGATACCTCAGGCAATGAAGAAGTACCGTGCAGCTTCAAAAGCCACGAACTTCTAGGCCCTTGAATGTGGACATCCACGAAGTGGACACCTTGCCATTTGGGCCCACATCTTTTTTGTTGAATGTTTGACATTGAAAAAGAACCCCATCGGCCCATCACTATTTATTTATTGTGAGAACGGATCATTGGCCCGAAGATAAGCACATTCCCGACCTGTTTTTGACCAACACATGAACGAGGTCATGGTCATTCATGCTTCACAGGCTTATGGCTCGTCAATCGGCTTTTGCAGCGGCCCTGCAACAGGCAAAAAGAACAGGTCAAGACCTTTGTTCCATCTGCACAAGGCACTGCTCTGCGGGATTCTCTTCTTGTTTGTTTTCACCCAATCACCTTCAACACTTTGATGGATGGTGATAGATGCATAACTCTGACAATACATGATCATTTGCAGAATTGGTTTGGCTATGTTTGGTTAGAACAAATGTGCTCATCGCCAGTGTGTCAATGCTCAGGTCAGCGATCATATTTCTTATTTTTGAATGTCATAACCCCTGTTGGTAAGATTGAGATAGTAGGCGTTTTTCCCTGGGGGCGCAAGGGAACGGGGTGTCAGCTAACTCTGGATGGGTCTGGAAATCAGGCGCGGATCTGGCTGTCACATGGGATGTTTGAGTATGTTGCTCCATTTTTTGGTTCAGGGGTCATCTTTACCACCAAACTTGCCGGTGCAAAGTTCAAGTTCTCCCAACTGCAATGACCCCGGAAGTAGAGAGGGTCTACCTGGCCTTCTTTGTCTACCGCCTTTGGACGCTGCACAGAGTTGCCGAGAATCCAACGTCAGCCTCCAGCCCAGCACCCCAGCCAAGCTGTTGACCTCGTCTGAGTCAGGCATTTTTGGTTTCAACCGCAGCCTACGACCTTAAATATATAGATATGTGATATGTGACTACGACCTTAAATATATAGATATGTGATATGTGACTACGACCTTAAATATATAGATATGTGATATGTGATATGCGTATTTATTACCATCTATAAATATACACAAAAATATAAACACACCACATGGACATGCATGTGAACAGACTAGTGACTAGTGACAACAACCCAATCAAAAATGTGAGATACGTATTGCTGCCCACGTCAATTAGTCTCTTGGGCCTGGAGTTTTGTTTGGGGGGGGCTTCTGCTGCCGCCAGCAGGAGCTTGGCCGAGGATCACCCTTCGATTCATCCTAAATTGAGACAACCTATATGCTAGCAGCAAAATCGCTTTTTATACGTGCCGGCCCCTCACACACCCACTGACTGAGATGCCAACCATGGGTATGACCAGGAGAGTGCCTGGCAAAGGTATGCAGCGAAGAAAGGACGAAACGAAAGCCAAACGAGGCATTCCAACCCAAACAGGCACACCCACGGTCCAACATGAAGGACATCTTGAACCCGTTTATAGCAATCCTAAACAGGGCACGGCTGCGTCAGAAAGCCTGCATATATATACGTGTGTGTGTGTGTGGTTATTTATGTGCTTCACCATTGGCAGTGACAGGTCTGTCATGCGAGTTAACTTGATGGATCTTGATGGATAAGTCACACCCAAGATAGGCAACAAGTAGGGGCAAACTTCCTGATAGCCACAGCGACTGCATTTTTCAAGCTATCAGGCTTGGCGCTGTGAGGCGGGAAGGCCGGCCTTTGGGCCCTGGATGCTCAAAATCTGAGCATTGCCGAACTTGCCACATTGGGCTTGAAGGGCTTCATAAACCTGGCTACTGCCTCCCAGAGATACACTGATCTCACAGATGTGACCATCTGTAAGACTTCCATTAAAGAGAGTGGGCTTGGAGTTGTGCCATCCACTCTGAAAGTAGTGTATGCGCTATGCGAATGTGGTGCCTCCCAGGCCTTTGCGCATTGACACCTTGACGCAGAACAGTTTTTGGCGAAAGAATTCGTGCAACATCATTGCCTTCAGAATTTGGAGTTACCATCGGCGGGGACACAACAACGGTTCACAAGGGATGAGGTGGACGCTGGAATGCACACCACACTCCAGGAGACTACACATGCAGTGGTGAAACCCTTGGCTCGAGCAGCCCAAGGTCGAAACGGTTATTGGACACTCATGACAACACTGGAGCCCGCACACTCGTAGAGAATCCAGGCCAATTATATAGTCAGAAACCTATTTGGGGATGAGGATCAACATGTTGTCAACTTAGGCCGGTCGTCAGGTCAAAATCAAGATTCCCACAACAAGGGCTCTCCCTTGGCGTGGCCTAATGACTCAGTGGCCTTTGGCCTATTCAAGCAGATCAGGGTCCACTTCCAACCTCAGGATGACAGGGCTGGGGCCTGGGGACCTACCAACAGCATTCATTGAGCTCATGAGTGTTCTTGATTGATACCATTCTTCTGTGTGGATGGAATGCGTGCCCGGGAGTTTGCCAATTTCCTAGTTCATTGCCTTCGCACGGAGGGGTTCTGGGTTGCGTGGCAACAAGAATCCAAATCACTCAACGAAATATCCACCGTGCCCAGCCACTGTTTCTTCAGCTCTGCAAAGCTCTTCGAGGCCATCCTTAAGTTTGCATGGCTTCACTCCACCAACGAAACTTGCCTCAATTCCTTGTCCCGAAAATTTCAGCTTGGCACAGGTTCAACGGAAGGCACACAAAATCACACAAAACCTAAAGTCATTAAGGAAAAAACACCCGAAAACGCATTGCCTGAATTTCTGAGGCAGGCCTCCCGCTCTGCCCGTCCACTTCATAGCGCTCCTCCTGCCTTCGCCGCTCGCGCTCCTCGCGCAACCACTGCGCGCGGTAGGCGTCCGAGGGTGGCGGCGCTGCCGGGAGCACGGCCTCCAGAGAACCACCCGAGACGCGAGAACCACCCAACTCTAGTAGGAACAAGCGCATCGCTACTAGTAACAAGTGCCTTACTAGTAGTAACAAGAAGCTACTAGGAACAAGTGCCT